AAACAGACAAAAATATACCCTAGAACAGAGGTTTTGAGTGGTTTTGAGCAGAAAGCTGAACAAAATAAAAGAGCTTATAAATAAATCCGCCCTTAGTCATGTGGGTCCTTCTATCCAGGTCTGCCCTCATAGCAGAAATCTTCAACACAGTCATACATAGCTCTTTAAGTCCCTTTTTTCCATCACCTCAAAAGGCTGTGTGCCTGTTCATTGATCTTCGCAGTCATCCCCCAGTCTGTGCTCCTGCTGTAGGCATCCTGTCTCTGTCCTTTTCAACCTGACCACCGTGTCCTCTGGAGGCTTTCTCCCAGAGCCACCACAGCAGTATCATTTGGCCTGTAGCAACAATGACTATGAAGCAAACACTGTCTTCTGCTCTATGGCTTCATTTTTAAACATACAGCAAACAGCAAATCAGGAAGACAAATAAGCGGAACTAAACATCAGTGCTCAGAAGCATCTCGGCTTAGGCATCGCCTTTACTGAATTTCAAAGCTACATGGCAAAGTTTTGTCTTGTGAGCCTAATGAGTGCAAGCCAGCACAGACTTTAAAAACTGTCATCTATGCTGAGCATGGGATCACATTTATAGCATCAAATTTACACATAGGTAATGAGATGAATGTCAGTTGATCGATAACGAAAAAGGAGTCCATCTAGAAGAAAATCAAGCACAAGGGTCAGACAATCAATGGTATCTTTAAGGTGAGATTCACAACACTGAGTTTGCGCAATATTCACCATCATGCCTCAATTCCCACACACTTTGTGAACAACAGATATGACATAAATCACCCATTAAGCCACCAAAAATGATGTCCTAACTCACCAGTGAATTTCACTCCTTGTGCATACAATGAGTATGAGGGCACTGAGGTAACACACACAGGCCATTAGCACACATTTTAACGAAGTGCTATGTTATCTCTGCTTAGAACAGATCAATTCCACACTCCAGGGGTCAGGCAGCGCCAGGAGTCTGGTCACACGCTGACTCAGTGCAGTGTTAGCATTATTGCACTTCCAAAGAGCGCCCCAATGAACGTAGGCTCAGACTGAAAAGCACCCTTAATTTATCCACATAATTTTATTCTGTTATCAACGTAAAAAAAAAAAAAAAAAAAAAAAAAAGGTAATTATGAAAAGCTCAAAGAAATCCAAATTCTGAGAGTTTTATTTAAAGGTAGAAACTGCATCTAAGTTTGTTTCTTATCTATAAAGGAGTGCTTGTAAGGGGCGTATTGGTGTATTTCCTTCTCAAAAGGACCAGTCCTATACTTGAAACCTTTAATACAGGTTAAGATACAATGGTCACCAAATCAATTCATGTTCCCTATGACAGAAAGAGCAAGGAGGCAGTGATGCTGAACCGATGCCTGCCTGCCACATCTGTCAGTGAAGACAATATGTTTGCACAGGTTTATTTGCTTTCCAAGGGCAAGCAATGAGTAGGAGGATCAGGATCAGTCTCAGAGTATAAAACTCTTATGGATTTCTTGAAGTAAAAATCTTTTGGCTGCCCTCGAAGCATATCAGTTTTCAGACTTATAACGTTGACGACATCCTTTTGTATACTGACATTCCACATTTTACTTGTCTTTTCATTTATATCTAGTACTGTACAAGCGTATAAGATACTGCAGTCAGATTCGTTCATTCAGATTCATTCAGATTCGTCAGATGAGTTCACAGTGAAATTAAAAGGAAAAAGTTGAGTTCCTGCTTCTTTTCAGAAGTCAAATTAAAAGGTAAGTTTGGTGTTTTCTTTTAAACACCATGAGGGCATACTTTCAGCTCCTAGTGTTTCCTTCCAGACTGATGAACCTTTAACAGTCAGCCAAGATGAGGGAACAGAAGTGTCTTCAAACCAGTCTTCTCAAGAGGACTAGCTACTCACTTACCTGACACCAAAAAGCTGTAACCTGAAATCCCAGATGGCAGCTTTGGCGGTTGCAGCCTCATCTGGGCCTCATGGCCTGGTTTCCTATTTCCTGCTTAAGGCTTTGCTTCTCTTGCTGCTGACCTGGAATTTCTTGTTTGTGCCATATCACTGAAATAAGCGCAACAAGTCTACAGATGGCTTGTCAGAGTCAGTGTTTGTATCACTGTGGTAGTCTATCTGGAAAGCAGAATGCTCATTAAACAATTTTTCACACGTTGATGATCTTTCCTTCTTTTTCTTTCTCTTTTTTTGACAATAGCCTTCAAAAAAAGAGATGGGTTTAAGAGTTGGTGCAACTGATGCGTAATATGACTAAATCAATAGAGGAAAGTAAAGATTTTTTAAAATGTAGATTATTGATCTGTGAAACTGTAGGGGCTCCTTCAAAGTCATTAGGGTTTGTCACATCAATACGTTGGTAAGGACTCCTGTAAATGAAGATTAATGATGGTAGGGATAATTATCACTGAAGAAACACACTTTTCTCAGTATTTGGGGACTTTTGGTGAAGGTGAGCAGTGCCAAGTTTTCCTTCAGTGCACTTTAGTTTCTTTTCTGTTGGGGGGGAGAATGTTTATGGCAGAATGAAAGTTAAACTCCCAGTTTCCTTGGCAGTAATAGTTGAGTTGCCTATCTTTGACTTGTGCTTTAAAAAAACAACCAACCCTATATGAGTGCAGCTGCTTCAGAGATGTACTGCACCTATGACAAAATCCTTCTGCATATTTTTTTTCCTCCTAAAATAACCTGGACATACACAATTGTTGCTTTTCTAAATCAAACACTCAAGTCATGTTTCTTCTTTTTATGGTTCCCTGAAGATATCTTCATATATTTTGCTAAATAACAAGTTATACGACAAGTTATAACTTAAAAGAAGAACCAAAGCTTTTTGTCAACTGGCTGAAATGTAAAGAATTCCCTAATGTTAACAAGCTGACTTCACAAGGGGGTGGGGGGATGAGGGAAGGGAAGAGCTCATGTTCACATTTTTCATCTAAAAACATCCAGCTGACATTCGGTCCTGACTGGTGTTCCCCAGGAATCAGTACTAAGGCCTGTCTCATTCAGTTTCTTTATTTATGAGCTGGACAAATCCAGTTCATTATCAGTAATTTTGTGGATGATACCAAGTTAGCAAGAAGTATCAGTCTGCCTGAGGGTAGGAAGGGTAGGATCATTTGATTCTCGATTATGAAGTACTGTTTTTCCAAGTAGTCCTTAGGATTCTAATTACTTTTTTTTCCAGGAATTACCTGGTGACAGGTTTCATTCATCAGTTTTTCAGAAAGATTGGTAAACATGCTTTGATAAAGTTTCAGTTGGACAGAAGCAAATACAGCTTGATCAGCCTTTGGTGAATAGAATAAAAATGATCTGGAAATGGGATTTTTGATTTCTAAAGAAAGATAATCACCAACAAAAGAATTATGAATTCATGCTAGGATAGCTTGGCTCTTTTCCAACAAGCTGTTTTCTAGCAAGCCAGAACACAAATCCACATTCTAGTTTAAAGAGGGAACAAAGGCTGAACAAAGTGAATCAGCAAGGTTCCTATCTGGCATAATGCCCATCTTTGGTGACCTGCAGGACCATATCAGATTGCACCTAAATAACAATTTAGAAGACTTTGCTTTAAGTTCCTCTGCATCCTGAAGTCTTTAGTCAGTGAGTATGTTGAAGAAAAACATCTTCTCACAGCAGAAAAATATCCAGCAGTTAGATATATAAAAGTACTTGCTCACAGAATTATATTATCAGAAGGAGCTGCATTTAAAAAGGGGTGGCCAGCAGGGAGAAGAGAAGGCTCAGGGAGATCTCACTGTGGATTCTCATTGTACTTGAAGGGAGTGTATAAACAGGAAGTGGAACGGCTGTTTACAAGGGTGGATACTGATAGGACAAGGGGGAATGGTTTTAAACTGAGGTTTAGGTTAGATATTAGGAGAAAGTTTTTCACACAGAGGGTGGTGATGCACTGGAACAGGTTGCCCAAGGAGGCTGTGGATGCCCCATCCCTGGAGGCATTCAAGGCCAAGCTGGATGTGGCTCTGGGCAGCCTGGTCTGGTGGCTGGCAACCCTGCACATAGCAGTGGGTTGAAACTGGATGATCATTGTGACCCTTCTCAACCCAGGCCATTCATTTCATTTTCTACGATCCTGTGAAAATGAAGTCAGATGAACTGATATGCTGTATTAGAATCATTCCCTATGTTTAATTCTTTACTTCTTTTACGCAAATTATTAGAGAGTATTCTGATCTCAAATAAGAGGATAAACAGCCAACAGACACTCTATGAAGAAGTGGACTTCAAAATCATGTTATATAGCAGATCACATTTCAAGATATATTGGCCTAAAAAAAAGACCTTAATTAATAGATCCAGAGAACTTTTTTCCATCCTGAAGGACAAAGAAAAAAAGAAAAAAAGAAAAAAAGGAATGCTAGTTTTCCTTGTCCTTTTGCTGCATTTTAAGGACTGGAACAACTAGGAGGAAGAAAAAACTCACATTGTCAAAGTTTTGGTATAGCTTTTCGGTCCATGGAATGAACCGAAAAGGAATGAAGGATGAAGAATACTAGGAATGAAGAATGGTACTGGAAAGTAAGGAGAAAGAATCACACTCAGCATGCATTCGATGAACTTAGCCTTGACAAGTAACTGTACACAGTAGCAACATAATGTTTCCAAGATTCACTGCAGGAATTTATCAGAGGCACACATAGAAACTAGTCAATATAGCTATTTTATCATATATTTGATTCCTTGACTTGCCAAGCTTCTTGCACTACCTTTTCAACTGTACCATCATTTGAAATTGACTGAGAAGATGCTAAAATCGGAGACTGCTGAAAATGGAAAATTGAAATAAAAATTGAAAATACTTAAATTCCCCCCAAATTAATAAGAGTGCCTTGGGTATTGATTTGTGAACCAGTACAAGGACACACAAATATATACTAGAGAAAAAAAAAAGGTCCTACAAAATGGACACTCCTGAATTTGCTAACTAAGGGTTGAGATACATCAATATAATATAAACAAAATTTCTTACCTTTATGATGATTTGCTCCAGATGCTAATTTCCCCCACAGCGTTACAACAAATATTATTATTAGCAGCTTCCCTTTTGTTGCTTTCTGTAAGTATCTCTTATTCATCCTGCAAAGATAAATACATAAAAAGAATTACTTCTCTTAATATTTCTTTAAAATCATTTCTTGAATTAATGAGAATTAAAAAATTAGTGTCTGGTTAACATCTCCTAAGTCCTAAATCGTGCTTAGCTTTAAAGGAGCTATACACACCGTCAGTATAACCTTTCTCCCTGTTTTGTCATCATTCCTCCAGAAGAATTCAACACCTCCATCAGTTTTATACTAAAGCCCAAGCAATAGTAGCTCTGCAATAGGTTTTGCTAAACAAAAGCAGTTCCACTGGTGCCTTTAGGCCAGCCATGTGCAGTGGATTTTTTAGCTTTTGGGATTGTGACTCTTTTTGGATTCTGCTCCTCAGTCATAAAGACAAAACAGATTTAAAGAGATTTCCAGCATATATACCAACCAATCCTGGTTGAAATCCTGGGAGAAATCCTGTCAGGAAGATTTGAGTAGTTTGGCATAAGGGCCTCAGACAGGCAGATTCTCTAGTCTCTCTCCTGTCTGTCCAAAGGGTAATGAAAAAATCTGATTTACAGCGCCAAAGGAAATTGCACATCTTGCTACCCTCATCTTGCTCAGAGATGTTTTCACTACAACAGCAAGCTACTGTGGTGGTTCAAGTACAAGGTAACACAGCATATTTCTCAGCAACCTCGTTCAAAGACAAAATACCTCTCTCCCTGCCACAATGACACGTTCAGGAACATAGGCTGTAGTGCTTAAGGATTACAGCTCTGCAGAGAGTGGCAAGAGGTATAATAATGAAACCTTCTCTCACTTCTCAGTCTTTGTAGAAGAACCCTAGGGATCTGGCTAAGAAACAACTCAGCACAATGGTCACGTTTCTGCTGATAAGTCAATAGGACAATGATGCCTATTCCACCTCACTTATACTAGAAAAGTTGCAAATTTGGTCACTTGAACAAAATTATTGCCATTTTACAATGCCTGGAACTAGTCTGCCTTCTCTTTCTGAGCAGAAAAAAAAAACCCAACACCTTGCTTCAGTATGGTTTCACATTTCTCTCCCATTATATTCACAAGAATCCTGAAAGAATTTGTGAATATCCCTTTTGCCCTACCCATATACAATGCTATCTTGTGCAACTACAAGCTCCATGAAAGGCAGACCACTGCTTTAAAAGGGAATTAACCAGCAACATGTTCAAAATCCCAAATCTCTTTCTATTCCTTCAAAGCAATTCCTTTCCTCTGAGCAAATTGCTTTCTAACAAAACATTATATACTAACAAGCTCCAACGCTCCACAACCCAGCTCATGGTTCCCAGACTCATAACCATACCACTTACCCTAGAGCTGTCAACCTGGCTCTCTGAGAGATTGTTGAACACTGCTAAGATTCCACACCTGGCTGTGTGCAACAAGACATGGCAATTCAAATTAACAGCCCACTGAGGAACATACCAAACCCTTTTAAACCTGAAATCAGGGCATAGAGAGCTCAGCATCCTTTGACAGAAGTCACACATCTATAGTGTGTTTGCCAGAAGTTCAGCTATTATGTTTACAAAGAAAAAAAAGAGAGGAATAAGCAAGTACTTTATCTAGGATTGTGGATGTTCCCCTGAAATCCTGATTGATTAATAATCACTATGGAGGTCGCAGTGCGCTGTGAACCACACCAAGCTGTCTTCTTGCACTGATTCCAGGAGTGTAAACTATGTATTCATCATCAGCCCCACATTTATGAGGCACTCAAAACTAATGGGAAATATTTGTCACTGTAAATAATAATAAAAAGAATACACATTCAAGCATGTGTCCTTCCATAGCTGTTGCTGTGAAAAGAATGTGAAATAACTCTTTCACTCCTGGATTGTCTTACTACCTCCAACACCGCTGGTGCCAAGTCATTAAAATGAAATTTTTCTTCTTCACCTTCCCAACCCTACATAAAACCCCGTGGGACTCAAAGCATTAAGCAAACCAGACTGTAATGCAGTTGCTGCAAATGTACAGCAGAAAAATACACAAGGAAAAACAGTAGCAGTGGGAACAAAATAAGAGCACCAACCTATCTGTGTGGGAACAGCAGCCCCTCAGGGCGGCAGAGTGAGGATACAAACCTCTGCTCATAGCTCAGCACTCAAGGTGTAAACCAGCACTGAATCTAGCAGAAGCTTTTCTGCAAAAAAAGAGGAGAGTTTGAGCTCTGATGCAGCAAATCTGGGATCACTGCCATTGCCAGGTTTCCCAGTCCTGAGAAAGACAATACACTATTTCTGTACCACAAGACTATTGCACTATTCTGCATTATTTAAGACATTTATCTTTCAGAAGGCCAAAAATACTATCTTTTAGCAGTCCCACAATAGGCACAATTAAAAGAAAAGTCACTGTAAGTAGCAGCTCCAGATGGGGACTAACAGTTCAGAGGCCATCAGCAGAAGTATAAAAAAAGTCTCTTAGCAGTTAAAGCAGCCATAACATGCAGCAGCTGCAATAGGAAAAAGCTGGGAGATGATGCTAAGTTTCAAACTGATTAGGCAATGTAACAGTAGACCTGTGGTTGGGTTGTGTGCATTGGCCACTCACAGCAACCAGTGTGGCTGCATAAGCACAGACAGGGCATGAAGCACTGTTCCCTGAGAATGACAGAAGTGTCTCAGCAGTGATGGAACACAATCAGAAGCCAGACTGTAGCATTAAAGCCCTGGAAATAAACAGTGAATAGTTTGTAGTCTAAGAAACTCAAGGGATTGGGATGGATACATCTCATCAGCAAAGCAGGCAAACAGATAACAAGGGGAGACCGTGAGATTCGCTCAATATCCAAGAAGACAATGGAAATAGAAAGCATTTGGCCTCATCTTTGAAATGCAACTATTAGCCCCTGCAACTCTGCTCCATGTCAATTAAGTGGATTCAGGAAATAAAATTCAGTCCATTACTGTACCATTATTGCACTAACATAACAGGCTGCGTTAAATAGAACAAATGAGGTCTGAAATGAGGTCTGCTTTTCCTAGAGGTGATGCAGAGCTGCACAGACAAAACTATGGCTGTTAGTCTGAATGGTTTTCTCTGTGAGATATTCTCCTTTTCTATTTTTCTTTCTTTCTGCTTACAGCCTTACAGCCCCCAATAATGCCTCATAAGCCAAAGGCAATCAAAGCTAAGAACAGCCATACTGCAGTAGATGTTTACATTTGGAAATCAGCTTTGTGAAAAAAAAAAAAAAAAAAATACAATCATTATACATAACAAACATTTCCTTCAGTCTCTAACCCCAAAATATTGGAAATAAGCCCAATGAATTCTCAGCACTTTCAGTAGGACAAAAAATTGAAAAACTGCCTTGTTTGAGTTCATTTTTCAATGTGCTCAGAGGCAAGGAAAGAGGAAGATGGCTTTTTTTGAGGTACCAGGAACACACTCAAAATAAAACAAACACAATTTACCAGCAAACAGGTGGCGGTTTGAATGGGAGATGATTGTACTGTGACTGGCTCTTCATCAACACCAAAACAAAATGAATATGAAGGATTTGTTACTTTTGCTCCAGAAAATTCCTTTCCTCTGACATGTACTCCATGAGACCCCTCAGGTCCAGTATCATGGACATGAGGATAGGTTGTTTCAGAATGAATGAATGACAAAAGTATCTAAAAAACTGCTGGATTTTTTTCTCAGAGTGAAACTACATCTGATGCTGCTAAGAACCTTCACAGATGATTATGTCAGCAGAAGCCCTTCTCCCTGGCCTCCATGGCTCATCAGATGCAGACTGTGAACATACAGGCTCTCTTCATCTCTGCTCCATTTCACTGTCAGCTCTCTCTCAACCACTTGGCTACACTAAAACTGCCACGAGCAGACATGTATCTCCCATATCCACTGCAACAATGCAGCTTCCATAAACTTTTGACTTTCTACTTTCTTCCTTCTTTGCTTCTGGGAGTGAGACTGGCCCACCTTACTGATGGTTCTGAAATAGAGGAGAATCACACGGGAGTTACTTTACATTGTACAGCCAGAACTAAATTGCCTTGCTTTCCTATTTTAAGTGAAGTGTAACCTCATGCAATCTTTATTGTTGAGGAAGGGAAAAAGTAAGAAAATAATAGCTTGCTTTCTTCCCTTTAGAGCTCATACACAAATAAAATTCTCATCTGTTTCCTGGCAGTAACAGCAATTTTCTCTCTTTCACCTTTTCTTTTTCTCCTTTACAAGCATCAACTTCTGTGAAGCTTTTCAGAATTCATTCATTCCTGTTTTACACATGTAGAAACTTTTAGTGTCAGTAAGATTCATTTGTCTTCTGCAAATATGTATACCCTGTGAATGCAAGTGTTCATAAAGAGAAGCGTAAGCCTATTTCTCTACTGAATCCCGATGAAGAGATTGAGACAAAAACTTGATAGAAAATTAGACTCACATTCTCTCACTTTTCTTTTTACAAAAATATATTTTCAACTTCAGAGAAACCTTAAATGAGTAAACGAGTAGAAGAAACCACTTCTGACCCGATGTCTCTGCTACAGAAATAATGCAGCCATTTAAATTATGTTCCGTGCTGTGCTGAATATTACATTATTTATTAGCTGTGTTAGTTTCATCATCCCACGCAATGCAGGTCTTTGCAGCTTTATTTAGCCTTTCCTCTGTAAGCTAATGCAGATTTTAAAATGCCCCTGTGGTGGATAAGGTCACTTTGTTAAAGTAACACTGATGTGACCCCCATGTGTTTGCATATATATAAATTCCCTCTATGACATTCCTGTCATGTTTGCTCAGTGAACAAGTAATTTGCCACTCTCATTACTTCAGGTACAAGGTAGCTTGTGAAAATCAATCTTCTTTCTGCTTCATACATCACAGCCTGTAACAGACACAAAGTGCATTCTGATTCCGAAATGAAGCCAGGGGAAAAATACAGTCCTATTCTCATAAACTACTGCATTAGATCTAGGTGGGAAGAAAAGAAAGAGAAGAGGCATTTAGCCTAGTAAAGTGTGCAAGTTTTACACAGGAGTCAGA